TGATGTAAAATCTCCAGTTCTTCTGGTGTAGTATGTAATAATACAAGACCAAGATTTTCACTTGGCACTCATAAAAACAAAATCAAGATATTTCCTGGAAATGACAGAGTTTTGATAAAGAATGCTGTTTGAGGTTGGCAGTAGGCTGGCTGCAAAGGCTTTTACCTGGGGCCAGGTTCTTCTTTTGCCTTTGTTTTGTCATAATTCATCAAGTCAGTTTGGTTTGGTCATTTCCTTATGCAAGTGTTTGTCTCTTCTTTGAGAGAAAGTAGGAGAGACTAATTGGACAAAACAGTCATGGCACTGGACTGGGCTGTAAGCAACCCAGCTTCCAGTCTGTGCATTGAATCAGAAGGGGAAGGGATAAGCTGTTCCATCCACGTTAAGCAGCTCTTAACAACTGTGAAATATAATGCAAAATTTCATCTGTTGTGCAATATTACAGGGCAGTTCATGTTTTGCCTTCCTCTAAGAATAAGCTGTAGATAAATGGCAAAAAAAAATGAGTGAAATGAAAATAATGAAAACTTATTAAGTATTCTGAGATTCCAAACTATGTTTGTTTTTTTCCAAAGCTTATTTAAATAACTTAATAATCCTGGCTTTTCAGTGTTAGGCTGAGGTGGTTTGTTTTTAAAATGTCTAATTCTTCTGCCTAGAAGTGGAGGGGTTTTGCTGCAAACACCTTGTGACAAGGAACGTGCACCCAGCTGTAATCAGGAGCATTCAAGAGCGAGCCTCACATTTTAAAAGACAATTTAAATGGCACTCATTGCTAGAGATGGAGGCAGTGATAGAGCTTTATGTTTCTTGTAGAGATTCCCTTGGAGGCTAATCGACCTCACGATAACCTCTCCTGCCCAACAAAGTCATCCTGGACTGGATTTATTACACAGCTCTCCCTGCCTGACATTTATGCACAGAGCCAGTCGTGTGACAATCAGCAGTGCATTGAACTAGTGTGTAGGAGAAATTAAGACAAATTTCATGGGTGTGCTTTCTGAAGACATCTCTGCTTGTCCCTGTGGATTGTTTTCCCTAGGTTGTTTTGTAATACTTAATTTTAAAATTATTTTATTTTCAATTTATTATATGGGAATTTATTTTCAGGGCTGGATCCTGTTAGTGTTCACAGGGACTGCAGAAGAATTATACCAAAGTCTGTCAACACTGGGTCACCTTTTTCTCCTTTACAGCTATTTTCTGATATCACAGATTTCTATGTAGAGGAAACATGGAAGAATATGCAAGAAAAAGCCTATATCAGACACAGCAGGCTGTGATATTATTTGCATGGATGTAAACCCATACAGGGACAAATTATGATGACAAAGAGAAATGAAAACTCCCCTGCTTGAGAAAGTGTCTGTCTCCTTTCTCAGGCAGCTCAGTGATTTTTCCTTTGCTGGTTTTTCCTGTTCCAGGGAACCATTTGCCACAGTGCAGTTTTCCATCCTGCTGGCAGATCATTTCCCTCTGCATTCACATGGACAAACTGCAATGAATTTTTGACTGCAATCCTCTTTTTACGTTCTCTAACGGTACAGTGAAGAAAATAAAGACAAACCCAGCCTCAGTGAGCCCAGACCTTGATACAGAGTCCTCACATCCTTCCAAAGCAGGCAACAGGATATCCCAAAATATTAATTTTGCTCCCCATAGGGAACTTAATTTCTTCTGCAGGTTTGCAATGACTTAGTCCCAAGGAAGTACAGAATAACAGCACCTCTGTCATCCTTTACCTGTTTCTGCTGTCCAAGCTGTGGGTGCCTGCCCTACCCTAATCCTTCCTGGGCCAAAGGAAAAATCCCTTCCCTGTGTGTGACAAATCATAGGCACTGCCAGCAAGTATTTATTCTGATTTATTCTGATTTACAGTGAAGGAACATCTCTCTTCTTCACACCTGACTTCTGACTGTTCTTTCCCCTGGGAGATGTGTCCCTCCTCTGAGCAAATACATACCTGTACCTTTAGAACCTAGACTGTAAAGAACTAAGATTTTTTTTCCTTCTCTTACAAATTTAGTTTTCAGAGTGGCTGCTAAAACAACCTTGAACCCTGCTTTTATATTTATGTTCAATCTAGTAGGTTGATGGGCATGATTCTCTTGTATACACAGTCTGCTTGTGTATTTCATAATGTATTTTTAAAATACAACCTGCTTTTGTCCTAGAACAGAAACATTTTTGTGAGAAACAACAGAGATATGATTCACTTGCTTGAATTATTATTGTCTGTAATATCATTTTTTTTTTCCCCAGCGAGCAGGTCTTTGAAATTGGAATACTGGATATTTTTGGGTTTGAAGAATATCAAAAGAATACTTTTGAACAGGTAAGTGTTGATATTCTGAATTTACTGTACCTGTTAATGCTAATTCTTCAATTAAGCTTCTGGGTTTATAGCCAAAAAAAGTGTTTTGATCACAATATAAACTTACACGGAGGAAAAAATTTGCTCTTAAAACCTTTTTTTCCTCATTCTGCCTGTATGGCTGTGAATTAAGACCTGGGCTTTCTACAGTTATTCATCATTTTAAAAGAATGTAGTAAACATCTACCATAATGATTTGCAGGAGGTCTGCAAATCTGAGGTAGATACACAGTGCTGCCTGTTTTCATGCTTGGGGAAGTGATACTTCAGCTAGGTCAGTGAGGAGGAAGACAATACACCAGACTGGAAGAAAGATCAAGAGGTCTTCAAATGCCTTGGAGGAAAAAACAGGCTAAAAATGCTACATTATGCTAAGTGCCATTACTGGCAGATTCACCCCTGTGTGACCTTATTTTAAAAAAGTGAATTATATTGATGGAATAGCTCAGTGAATGCTTAAAAATCCATTGAAATAGCAAACATTTCTTTTGAAAATTAGGAAACTGTTTGCCCATCTTCAGCAATAGTCTCTGAGCACCAAAGCTCCTGTGAATTATGGGTTTCAGAAAGCATTAGCCACTCTCCACAACATGCTGAAAGAGATGTCTAAGGTATTGTTTGGTTCTTCATTCATTCTGTAATGCAGCAGAAGAAAATCAAAGCACAGGGAAGAACAGAGATGGCAGCAGCCACAACAAAAGACCTGTTCCTGTTTGGAACCAGAATTTGCCCCTTCATCCCAGAGCCATTCTTTCATGGCTTGACTTTCTAGTGGAACAGAAGTCACAGAGCCACATCAGTTCAGTTTGTGTGGCATGTTAACATCACTACCAAATGAAAAATAAAAAAATGTTTTAATAGGATGAAATATATGCAAAAAAAATCCATAAAACCTACTGATTGGTAAGGATAAAATGTTCTATGCATTTTAAATGCATCTCAAAAGAGAGAGGTACATCTTAGGTCTTACTGGTTATTTCCATTTGACTGTTCTGCATTGGTTTTTGTTGTTAAACTCATTGAAGTCCTGCAGCTGACATCACAAAATACCATGAATCCCAGTTTCTGGGGTACATAATTTTCTGCTTAGTGACTGCAGAGGATGCTTGAAAATAAAATGTGAGACTTCAAGAGAAAAGAGTAAAAACTAATTTTAAAAATTATTTCTGCATAGCAAATGTGACAATTTCAAAGTTGACTTTGCATTTTTGTTTTATTTTTCCTAAATAAATCTATTTCAAGAGCCACTTACTGTCCCTTCACCTGGACTGAATGCGTTTGGTTGAGTTCTATTGAGCAATACTCAGAGTCATTACCTCAGAAACTGCTGAACTGCATTCCTGAAAAGATAGAATGGAGGTGAGGGAGTTACAGAGCTCATTTTAATATGAACTCTGTAATGTGATTAACACATCTGATGCCTGAAGTGATAGGCTGCACTTTCAATGGAGAGAAGCAGTTTGTATCTCCCCATGGCACGATGGACTCGTGTAGACATACCCCAAAGAGCCTGTGCTGAGAGCCTGGAGCTGTCTAGCAGCCCAGCCTAGTTCAGTATTCTGCCTGGGCTCGTTAACCCTGATGAGAAACAGATTTGTTAGCCCAGATAGGGTCCTCATGCAAAACATTGCATCATGTCTGCAGCCATGCCCCATGTCAAGGCCTGGGACTGCAGAATGTTAACGTTCAGTGTTACAGCCAAACAGTGGAGAAACCATAAAAATCATTTTTTTTCATCACATTTAGATGAACATCTTTTAAAATGGCACAACAGAGGTAATTTGGGGAAAAGGAACCTTTTGTTTCAAATCAGTGTAAGACAAGGCATTCTTTGTGAGATCTCTTTGCCAACTTTCTTGAAAAGAAAAAAATGACACCACTTTCCAAGAAAGATCAAAACCTTCCTCATTGCCCCAATCTGTGGCCATTCCAAGCAGCCCCATGAATCTTTCTGGTGCTTCAAATCAAGTGTGCTGATAGACAGTTTAATATCATAATGAAGAGAATTATATGATAGTAAATCACAAGTCAATTTAAGCAATTCATTTTAATAGACTCTGTTTGAAGACAGGTCTGGAAGAGAGAGCTGGATAAAGCAGGTGGAATAACTCATTCCCTCCAGTGAGTGTGTTGGAATGATGAGGCATTAGGGCACTGAAATGTCAAAGGCAAACAAAGAATTTGTCTAGGAACTGTTCCTAGGACAATGGATGTCAAAGAACTAGACAATTAAGGTCAATTATGTTGACACCAAGAATCTGGTAACTTCTGCAGGCAAAATGATGTGACTGACAGCTTGCAAGGAAACAAGTTTTATAGAGGATTACAAAGAAGAGGGCATTAAAAGCTAGAAACAGTGTTAAGTGTGCCACTTTGTACTTGGTGAGCATTGGTAAGCCTTCATTTTATTGAACATATGTCTCATACAAGCACAGATTTGTCTGCCCTGTTCTCTGCAGAAGCAGCCTTCATTTTGTGATCATTTCAGAAGATAGGAGTCCTCCACCAAAAATAGCAATGGCAGTTTTCAGTGTTAGTTTTCAGTGTTTTCTTAGGTTTCCTTGTTGGAGAGGAACTCTATTTGTTTACAGTTCCAAATACACTCCTTTAAAAGCAGAAAACTTCTGGTAGAATTTAAAACTAGGTAAGATCTTATCCATGGTTCCTTCTCAACACAACTCCAAATAGTGCAGTCAAGGAATGGTGCTGTCTTCATTGTACCTTCATGGGAGGTTGTTCTTTGACCACACAACACAAAGAGAGAGAACTCATGGCTAGAGAATATAACGAGCAATAAGAGGAGGGAAGGTGGATAAATTTGTCTGTACCATTTTTCCTTAATTGTTTCTAAGAAAACTGTATTGTAGCAGAAGAACCACACTTTAGAGTAGTAGCTTTTATTCCCTCTGTAAAAAACAAGAGTAGTTTTTCTTCCCTCTGTAAAAAGTCAGGTCTTTCTACAGAAATGGAGCTCTGTGGTTGTAGAAGAGTCATAAAGTGTAATAATGCAGTTGAATAAAATGTTCTCTAGTAGTCTTTTCTCTCTAATTCAAGTGGGAAAGTGGAAAAAATATTTAGGTCTTGCTAAATAACATTTTTAGCTCTTTTACAGCATTTTGCCTCTGTAGATCTCTTTAAGTTCTGCAGAAGACAGTGTATCTACATTGTCCTTGTTCTTTGGTTCAGGTGACAGGCAGAGAATCCTGCTGACCTCTGCAGCAGCCTGTGGAACAGGCAGCTGCTGGTGCACACTGAGCTCTGATTTACCTGAATGTAAAACCTGCTGCAGTTCCCTTAACGAGGAAAAATAATGTGAATTATGAAGCCAGAGTTTTCACAGTATTGCTGTTCCCAGCACGGGAAGGTTTTGATGTCCTTGTGGAGCAGGGAGAACCAGCTGATCCTTGGCATCAGGGAGACCCCAAGGCCAGCCATGCCCTCCAAGGAACCACCCCTGTCCACTGTTCCAACCAGCCACCAAAAATACAGCATGACTTAAAGTTCTCTTATCATGTACCTGACACTAATTTTTTTAAAATTTTTTTTATAGCAGACTCTGTGTGGCCAAAAATAAAATAATTTATCTAGAATTGGGATTGCCAGCTAGAGTCAGTTGGTGATTGGTTGGGGAAATGCTGCACAAGGACATTTATTAACTGATTTCTTACTTTTCCCCAGCAGCACCCTCTTTTATCCTACAGTATTTAGCTGCTGGCCAGAAGTAGGAGTGAAAAAATAATTTGGAACTATTTCAGTATCTTTAAGTCCAAATTCTTTCAAGGAAAGACTGTTGTTACCCTGTTTGGTTGATTGTTTAGTACTGTTCTATGTACAATATCAGGTAGGGGACTATTTAGTCCCTTTTGGAGGGGCTTTTCAGACCCTCTTTTGTAGGAGGCTTTTAAGGTGACAGCTACACAAAATAAAATCAAGTTCTTCTGGCAGAGGCAGAAGTTTGGGAGCTGCATGGAAAACAAGAAAACTACCTTAGATCCCTAAAAGGCAAAGGAATAAACATAATGGGTTCTGATTTTGTTGCACATTCATTAAAACTATTCTCTTTGGTACTCTATATAAAGGATGTGTAGAAGTCTGGGTGGCAGGTACAAGGGGGAACAGTCCCTGGGCTAACAAGGGGCCCGATCGTTCCTGTGATTGACAGTCACCAAGTTTTCTTATCACAGATCCCCTTTTTTTTTGGCTGTGCCTTTTCAAATGGTTATTTATATAAAAGTGAAGAGCAGGAAAGTGTTATTAGTCATATGTGCTTTTCTGTCTACAAAGTGCAGTACAATTTTGGTCTTCTACCTAGCTTTGCATTTATTATACTTAATACTAACTGGTCAAAGTGGTAAAAGAAGAGAGATAAAGCTAAAACTGTCTCATGTGATGAGTACTTGCTGCTTTTACCCAATACCACTATATTATTTTCCAAATTCTATACTTTGGATGATACTGCATAATAATACTTGTTTAAATACTTGAACAAGAGTTGTTTTGTTTTGTTTCTGATAAGAATATTCTAGAAATACTTTTTAATGAAGGTGGGAACAAGTGGTGTGTTTGTTTTCACTGAGACATGACAGTGAGTTAGGATTAGAAAGAAAGACAGGTAGAAAGGGGGATTTTTTACAGAAGAGATGCAATGGGGCCAAGAAGAGGCATGTAAAGAAAAGTTTGATGGTGTTTAATGACAAAAAGTATCATATGGAATGCTGAGTAATGCTGCAGTGTAGAGCAGATAGACAGTGCTCAAAGATATTTACTTTAGGTAAATATTTCACTGTGTTTTGTTTAATTACCACTATATTTCCATCAAATTTTCATGGGTGCCATTAAATACCTCTTTAGAAAGTGTGGTTTTCTGAACTTTTCATATCACAGCAAATATGCAATTGTTTTATATAATACTTCATATGACACAGCTGTCCCTGCCTGGTCTCCTCGTTCTGCAGAGCTCCTACTCACAGCCACTGCTCCAGGGAGCAGCTTGGGAGTAGCTTCCAGTTTGTACCAGCACCTGAGCTTCCTTTCTGCTCTGGTTTGGATTTTTGGCAGTTCAAATCAATGCCACTTATCAGATCTTTTCAAAATATAGCTAAGACAGTCTTGAGCTTTAACTTAACTTGTGTAGTTTAATCATTTTGCTGCACGGTCAGATCCTCAAGTACATTTATTGTTTCTATGTATTTTGGGGGATTGGCACATGATAAAAAATTATCTTGAGTTTATAGTGATTTTGTCAACTTTTACTATGGCAAAATATACCTGTGTAACAAACTACAAGATTCTCTAAACAAGTCATTTGCAAACAAAGATATACACAGTATTCATCATTTTAGGGCTTTACGTAGCCTGTGAAGCTTGTAAAGTTATGTTTGCTTTCTAAAATCATGTTCAGAAGCTTCCAAAAAGGATTAGGATTGTAATTAGAATTTGAATTAGAAATTGAATAAGAAATTTGAATTAGAAATTGAAATTGTAATTAGAATTTGAAAAGTGATCAGTAAAGTGTATTTTGCCTGCCACAAAGTTAAAAATGATGTCTTTTTTTTCCATAAAATAAATAGACAGTGTAAGTCAGTTGTATGCTTGCATTGTTAATGGGGTGAGATAACAATCTGGATCTTTAGAAATCCCTCTTTTAGTAAGTAGTAGTTTTATTCAAGTCTTTTGTCTGCACTAACATGCATTGGTAAAGACAGTTAATAACAGACATTTTGTTATAAAACATGGGGTGTTGTTTTATTTCTTCTTATTGTTATTCACACTTCTGTTTATTCCCAGTTTAATGCTGCTAAAATGTAAATTTCCCCAGGGTCTTGCTAATCTGTGGTCTACCCAGAGATGACATCTTGTGGATTGACATTTCATCAAACTCAGTCTTAGACCTGCAGTAAAACCTCCACTGATGAATTATGCAGTAAACTTCTAACACTCATTTTTCCTTGGTTTTACAATAGCTGTGTGTCAACATGACCAATGAGAAGATACACCAGTACATCAATGAGGTGCTTTTCCTACAAGAGCAAGCAGAATGTGTCCAAGAGGGGGTTGCCATGGAAACGGTGTATTCTCCTGGGAACCACTCTGCAGCCTTGGATTTTTTCTTTCAGGTAGTTTCCAGATCTGTTTTACACCATGTGTATTTATTCAGAGCCTCTGCATATTAGATTAAGACAAACTTTTGCTTGCATTTTCTGATTTATGAGCCTGTAGGGAAGGTTATGGGTCCAGAGAGGCTGTAGAGGGGCTGGCACAGCTGCCCTCACAGCTCCAGGGCTAACAGAACTTTCTGTCTGCCCAGGGTGGATGAAGATGTAGCAGAAACTCCTTCCCTGGACTGATTCACACGTGGCATCTCTGTATCATGCCATGCCATCAATGCAGCTGTAGGAGTGAGGAGACTCTGACAGTCTTTTGTGCCTGGAGATAGTTTCTGGAGGGTAACTTCTAATGGGAAGCAGCTCAATCACTTCCCTGTAAGATCATCAATACTCACCAGTTTTGGTGCCTGACATATTATTCCTTCTGTTTTAGAATTATCTGATGTGCAAAGCCTTGGAGAGTTACCAGAATGTTTTAACCATTTTTTTCTTTTCTATGAGATGATCTTTTTTGAGGTGTTTCCATTTACTACACTACTGTATAGTAGAGCTGTGTTACTCTACAAGGAACAACAGAAATTCAATTGCTCCTGTGTAAAAGGAGAAAAATCTATTTTTTCATTTCAGAAACCATCAGGATTTTTGTCCATGCTGGATGAAGAAAGCCAATCTGTCTGGGCAGTGGAGCAGAGTCTGTCTAAACGCATCCAGTCTTACCTGGAGACATCAGACACACACACAGTGTATTCCTCCACGAAAGATGGGAATGGCAACCTTGCCCCAAAGGATCAGGGCTCCACCTTCACTGTTATGCATTATGCTGGCAGGGTAAGTTGTTTGAAGTGTTAGTTGCACACAGTTAATGAAAAAGAGTAAATAAAATTCTGCATGCTTTCTCCAGCTCCTGGCTGTACATAATAATTCACATTCTAGTGATGAATTTCCAGAAGGCAGCTTAGAATCTCAATGCAACTCTTGCATCTCTGTTGTATAAAACATGCAGTTTGTGTTGTGTTGTGCAGGATTCAGGTTACCTAATTCTGGCTCCTAAATTAATCTCCATTGTAAGCAGATCATGAAGAAGGGCTGATTCAGATACCTGAGCATAAATATTTCATGCCCTTTGAGTTGCCTGTCACATTGCTTTCAGGTGTTTTTCTAGAACAACGTGAGTTCCCTGCAGACACTGTGCCATACATGGAGATACTGTGGGTACCAGCATCTAGCTGGTAAAAAAAAAAATGAAAAAAAGAAATTTTTTGTTAGTAATCATAATGAAAATATATTCCTTTCCTTTTTTTCTTCAAAATCCCACAACATGCTCAGGGTCTCTAAATATATCTATAAAACAGGATGGATATTTTACATTTCCCCTCCTGTAATGTTCCTGGGAAAAACATAACCCATGCTGTTAAATATACCTCTGAACCCTTTTCTTCCCAATATTCCCTCATTTTCACATTGTTTCCACAGCCCAAAGGAAGCAAACTATGTGTGTGTTTAAAGGGATAATCAGGTTTTTTAGGTGATCTGCCAGGTTGGCCCCTCTATGATTAATCTGACGTGCTGCCCCTTCTCTGTTCAAAGCATCATACTTGGAATGACTCATGAATGTGGATTGTTTGGGCACAATACAATGGGGGCTCTTAGTTCTTTTCCAAAATTTCCACTCTTAGGAGGTGTGTTCAAGACTTGCCTCTAAGTCACTTGCTGGCTCTGTCATGTCTAAAGGTAACATGCCCTAAACTCTCCAGAACAGATGAGAGGTTGAAATGTGCACGCTTAGGTGTCTTTAAGCACATTAGGGTCCTCTAAAGCATTATAAATGGGGAAAAGGTCTAACTTGGTGGCTCCACATTTGGCAATCAAGTCTGTGGAAGCATTGAGCAGTGCTCTGACGCAGGCAAATCTGTTCCTGCTCAATGACAGCAATGTGGTCATGGTGGAAAGGATTAAGACTATTTGGGCAGTGCTTAAATTCCTAACCTAAATACTCTGGATAACTCCCTGGAGGCTTTTCTTTCATCATAAGGCCTTCTACTTAGACTCTAATTATTTGCCAAAGTTAAGTGATTTGAATACTTTCACTATTGGGATTTTTGAGTAGGAATGCAGGCACAAAGTGGTTAAATAACAGCCCAGCACAGAGTTTGTGAAGCTTAGTAGCACTTCAAGTGATTGAGCTGAGGTCTGGCTGTAGGCTCCTGATGTCTAAGTTCATTTATAAATCTGCTCTATTTGTTAGGTAAATGTTTTTTGATGGAGTTCTGCAGTCATTATACAAATTTATCACAGAAGCTCTCAATGCTTCCCCACACCAAAAAGCTGTCATGGAAGCATCAGCAAGGCAGCTGCCTTAAAATCACAGCCAGAACAGGAAGCATATTTCTTAAAAATGAAAAAAAAACCCAAAAGTTTGTCTTTTTCTTTGCATTTTCTCTGAAGAAGCACTGGGTAAGGTTTAAGATGCAGGTGGCTGGCTCTGGAGGGTAGACTGTAAGTGGGAAGGACTGCAGCTTTCATTAACACATGATGCCTTGCATGATTGTTTAGAGGTTTTTTCATAACACAGACACTTGGTTTGACCTTTTCCTAATAACAGTCATGACATTTCATCTAAAAGTATGAACAAATAGTTCTTGGCGTAATGTAAATTCACACATTCTTTTGAAGTTAATGGGGATCCTTTGATTTACATTGGCCAAGAAGCTATTCCAGGCAGTCAAGTTGTTCTTTCATCATTACAGCAGTGAAATGCTCAGCCCTGCCAAAACAGCAAAGTTCCTGTGCAAGTGCCTCACTCTCCTTACTTTAGTAGTGACTGAGCTAAATCCCTAAAGACATTTGCATTTTTGATATCTCATGGAACTGTTATCTAGCTATCATACTATCCTAGATTGAAATTCCCAGTTCTTTATGAGATGTTTTTACATAAAATCTAATGTTAGCATTACTGTACTAAATAATGACACAAAAATGAGTTTACTCTGAGAATAGTAGGTCTTCATAAGTTAAGATAAATTGAATATGAAAAAAATAGGATTTTAAAACTGCTGATGCTGTTCTTTAGATGATGCTATTACTACATTTAGTAGTTTTTTTATAGAAGTCATTTGTGATTTATGAAAATTGTTAAAGGATCAGGCTTTTAAATATATCAGGTTTTATTTGCACTCAAAAGCAAGAATTTAATATAGAAAGTAACTATATTTTGGCAGGTTTTGAGAGCCGTTTTTATAGTCTGGTATCAATTAAATGAGTCTAAAGTAAGTGAAGTATAAAGCAATCTTCCTCTGCATCGTTACCTTCAGAGATCCCCAAGTTTAAAATGTGGGGGCTTGATGCTGTTCTCACCACAACTTTTCACTGATTGAAGGTCCTTTAATTTGGTAAAGCTTCTCATTATTTACATGAGTAAAACTGAAATGAATCAGACCCAGAGGGTAGAGAAAGAATTACCAGTAAAACGTGACAGGTAATTGAACATGAAATTTTTCACTTCTAGGCTTAATCATTTCTGGGTGGGTGATGCTGGTGTTTGTGGAGGAAGTCCTGCTCTGTGCTCAGCAGGGATGAAGGCAGACATCCTCATTTCTCTAGGTACCCAGAGTTGGTTCACAGCCAAAATCTAGAGAAAATAAAAAAACAACCAAAAAAATCTAATATAGTGGGTTGGCCCTGGTGTGAAATCCCACATGTCCCCTTGAAATTTGGGCTCCTTTTCATCAGGAGTTGATGTATGTAGCTTGAATTGGATTCCTGTCTTTACTCAGACATGTACTGCAGCTATTTTAGTGCCCCCTAAGTGTGGTTATGCTGGAAATGCAGCTGTTAAAAATACTCTCACTGAAGAAGCCTCTTCTGTAGAGCTGAGATTGATGGAGAGTCTTTTGGGAACAAAACTGGTATCTCTAGCTGTGTATTATGAGAGAATTGCAGCTGTGTCCATTCAGTTTTAAAGACCTCTTTACACGTTCATATCTTAAACTTTTGGGACAGGATAATCATAGAAAAATTATCTTTTCTTCCAGTATCAAATATTCTGGTTGATCATAGTCATGCACTGTCAGATAGCCTTGTGGTTTATGTTCAGTAGCTTTTCCTAGGACTACACCTAAGATATTTTTGTTCCAATTCTAACTAGCCTTAAACCATTGCAGAAAAGGCAGTGCTTAGAGAAAAGGGAAAAGATAACAGGTTGGAAGTAGAAAAAAACAAAGAAAAAGTGAGGTCAAAATGAGCCATGAAGAAGAGGCTCAGAGTAAAGTGTGTAAGGGAAAAAAATTCTGAAGATTTGGGGATCCATACTTGAATTTCTGGCAAAAACAAAGCTTTAAGAAAATCTATATTGAGACAGCTTTGATTTTTCCCTTCATTACTGTTTTGGAATAAAGAAAATGGAATAAAAGATTAAAGCAAGAGGCACAACTAAGCTTCTGCTCACAGAAGAAATCAGCACAGGGTGAGATTTTTTAGTAGAAGCTGAGAGAATATTTTGTTACACAGATGTGACAGAGTGATCCTGTGAAAGAAGGAAAACACCTTTTTATTCATTTATCTTGAATTTTACTATTATGCCTGCACAACACTGAATCTGCCTTTTTCTGCATGAGCAATGGGATCCAGTTGTTAACCAGCTGAACACACGCTCAGCAAAGGCCCCTGTGAGCATCAGCACTTGATCATATCAAGTGTTTCACTTCATCTCCCAGCTTTAATTCTGCAGCTGAACAGAATCCTACAATGCCTTGACACGTTATCAGTCTCTTCTAGGAGCTGTTTAATGTCTTGGTAGCTGAGTGCTGTAAGACAAAAAGCTTATCTCTTCTGCTCAGGCAAAAGGTAGAAAAGAATGATTTAGGTTTTTCCTGGCTAAAAAAAAAAAAAGAAATCCTGGTGGAAAGCTTTCTCAGGAGGTTGTTTAACACATTTCCCTGAACACTGCCAGTCTGCTTTAGGGGTGCAGTTGATCAATACATCTGACCATCAGCTGAAACTGTACTGAATTTCTAAGTACTTTTATTGATAGGATAAATGTTTAAATTGTGGGCTCTCATGTGATAAAGGGGAAGGGCTTCACGTGAACTCTAACCTGTCAGCTACACTGGTACTTGTGATTTCTGAAGAATAACATTCCATCACTGAACTTTCTCCAGGGCTCAAAGTTCTCCTTTTTGTTTTAATTTTATGGAAGAATTAACCTATCAGTAACTAAATCAGAAATATATTGCCTTAGCATATAGCCCAGAGACACAGCTTTACCTGGCAGTGTTATTTAACATATGAGTGTTGAAGAGAATGAGCAATTTGCCCCATTGTTCATGTAATCTGCATAATGGCTCATCATAATTTAAGCTTTCTGCAGTTCAGGCTTATACTTGAATTTACCAATTCCATAATCCCCTTGTCACCATTTGGCTTGCCACTGTTTTGACTTATAGTGCTGTAATAAACTGATCAGACCTAAAGACCAACTTCTTTGCTCTCTAAAGCAGTGCACATAATGTTCTTTAAGTGCAGATCAATGTCTGCTCCATTTCTCAGCTAGGAGCATCTCAAAAATACCTCTCAGCTGTCAGCTCACCTTCACCAAGGCAGTCTCCTCTGAAAAGCCTTCTGCATCCCAGGCAGACTCTGAAACTGAACCTGTAAATCAAAAGACAAAAGAAGATGGATTAATCAATAAGGATGCTTTCATTTTCTCCATTTTTTCCCCAGGCTGAATCCCCAGACATAACAATCAAATCAGTCTGGTCTAAGCTATACCAATGCCCATAAAGGTTACTTGGCAAAGATTCTCTTTTCCACACAGAAAAGATAGTTGTGATTTTCTCCCTTATTCTCTCTCTCTTGAAGCAGACTTGATTATGGACTTTTACTTGCAAGAGAAAATAAAACACTTCCCCTCACCCTCCTGTTTCCTTTCTGAATATCTTCTGGTTTTGTTATGCTGCTATTTCTATCACAATTGTAGAATAAGACTTTACAGACTATATAAAATTATTTACCTCACTCATTGCTTAACAAGACTGGTTTTGGAAGGGTGAGGAACCCAGGGATGCTAATAAAAAATGGCACATTCAAGCATTTAAATGGTAACACATTCAAATTTTGGTAGAAAATTGCCAACTAAAAGTGACCCTTTGTGCACTGAAGTTATCCTTGGACACGTTCTCAAAAATTTCCCTTTTAACTATATGAATTGATTATTTTCTTATTAAATACATTTAAAAACACAAGCAAAACTGTGAGTTTCTGAGTTACGTTTTGTTATTAAACTAGTAAAATTCTCTTTTAACTGTGAATGCAGCCAAATGAAGCTTAACATTCCAGCTGGCATTTTCCTAGCTTGTTTTAGGATTC